ATATATATATATATATATATATATATATATATATATATATATATATATATATATATATATATATATATATATATATATATATGCTTTTGTTTATAATGTATCTTTAGTAATGTATATAGCAAACGATTTAATTCTGAGGCACATCCAAGGTCTGAGATCTATATGCGTTTTCTTTTGCTTATTCTCTCTCTCTTATTTTCTTTTTACTCCTATTCTTCTAGCATTCATCTTTTTCATCAATTTTTATGGTAGAAATATTTCTACTTAAATAATTATCGGCTACCGTAAATAAGAAATGTATAATGTTGCTTAAAAATAAAAATCACAGGGGTCAGCCACAGAGTACAGATACATATTGTGGTTATAATTTCCCACTCAACAATGTAACTGTTATATAACGCTTATGTTATGGAACAATTACATTATTAAATGGGAAATTATAATTTACATATATATTACATGTTACATTGTGTTCGCTGAGTCTATATTTGATATATGTAAAGTATTGTCATTCTTATTTATAATTCTGATTTTATAGTATTGTTGCGTTGCCATAAAAAACGTACAAGAAAAAGCACAAGAGTAAGGACAAAAATCAATTAGAAATTTTCATTTTTTTATTAGTGTTTTATTTAGAGTGTCTGATTATCTTAATAGATTGAGTGTCTTATATTAAACATATATCTTTACATCAATTTGTACATGACTTTCATGTATAATAGGTGCGCAGTAGTGGGTTTACTAATGCACACTCAGTGCATATTAAAGCTGTTGTACACAAATTGATGCAAAGATATATGTTTAATATAAATATAAAAACAGGAATATAAGTAGAGAAATAATCAATAAGTATAAAAATCATTAAATCACGAAATTCTCAATACACTTTATTGTACTGTGTAATAAAATATAAAAAATATAAAATATATGTATTTCACTTGTATTTCACTTTTATACTAAGTGAAACTAGAAGAAAAAATAGCCTGATGAGACCAAACGCTATTACTAGTGCATAAATTATGGTATTTACTTTTAATGATTAATAAATACAAAATTAATGAAACACATTGCATATGTTTTGATCCCGGATGTGTGAGTCCTCTTAGTACTTATAATGATACAAAGATAAAATTGTAAACTAATTACAAGATACATAATTGGCACTTACTACAGTTAAAATTCATAGTCTTTGAAGTAGTTAAAAGATCAAATAGTTAAAGTTAAAATATTATAAGTAAAGTTGATACAGAACAAGGAATTTTTTTATCAAATTGTATGTATGCGATCTGTTTTATTAATTTTATATTTATCAATTATTATAAATAGGTACTATAATTTATGCATTGATAACTGTGTTATCTCTCATAGGCTATTTTTCCTATGGTTTTACTTAGTATGAAAGTGAAAGACAAGTGAAATACAAATATGTATTTCATAAAATACATATTTTATCTTTAAGACAAGTTTATAAGGTATTGTCTTAAAAATGTGTTAAAAACGTCCTAAAGACATCTTATGACTCGATTTTGGACATTTCTGCTGTTTGGGAAGCATTTTCAAAAATTTATAATAATTAATATATTGAAATATTAATTTTACTTTTACTTAACATTATATAAATTTAGTTAATTTATCTTATTATATTTAATTAATTATTCTTGCAAAACTTATTAATGCAATTAGAAGAAATAGTTTTATAATTATAA